TTTCTGTACTGACCCTAACTTTTCTGCGGTTTCAGTTTCTCTTGGTAATGGGACTGCCATAGGACTGCCGATCAGGCCAGGGGTGGTTTTGGGCGTCAATGTAGGCATATGTCATACATGGAGTGTTTGGGTTTGACGGTGATTTCATCCAGAAGTCTTCGGCCACAAACTGAAGCTCCTGGTACCTATTGCTATACCTGTTGCTATACGGCTATACCCACTTCCTGCACACACCAAATCCTAGCACCTGGTGTTCCGCAATGTCGGACCATCTTGTTCATTGTTGGCCTGACCTAAGGCCTTAGTTTCTTTGATTAATAGAGGGGATCAAGCGTACAACTAATACACTCCGACTCACTTACATGGACATTGACAACCACCTGTTTGTAGAGGAACATTGTCTTCACAGGGGCCATTTTCCACTTCCATGTTAGTGAGTCAGAGTGTACATCTGGTATCACACCGAACCTTTGATTCCTAAATTCGGACACCATTGAGTTTGGTGTGTCCGGTGTTTTTTAAATCGCCTATAGCGACTCAGGATGTTCAGCGTTCTGAAGTCAGCAGAACACCGTTCTTGGAGATGTTGGACAAGTGTTCCTTTTCTTAAACCATCCTACTGCCATGATTCCAGAGTTGTTAAACATCTAGTCTCATCTACAAGTTCACCTCTACCATTTGCTTGCTCGGGTGTTTGATAGGACTATTCTAAGCATTCCATTTTCACCGTGAACTGTCAACTCATGAGTCTAGTACATATAACAGCCTTCTTTCAACAACAATATGACACTGACACATATCAAACCATTCTCTGTTTTTAAATTCCTTCCGTTTTCATAGTCCAAATTAATGGTCAATATCAATTGTTGAGTCTCGACTCAAGTGAACACTGCATATATATAATATATATAATATTTGGATGTACTTTTTTTGTTGTTAACATTTTTCAGTAGTTACTACTTCTCTGTAGTGCAGCCCCATGCCTGAGGCGGAAGACGACACGTGAGCTGCAGGCTCCAATCTTTTGTTCTGCGGGGTGGAAGAAATTCATGGATCCATAGGAATTCCCGTTCTACTCTCCAGGTGGCACAGCGATTCCCGTTGTAACATGAAGTTCCCCAAACACGTGAGCTGCAGGGCAGTGTCACAAAAAAAAAGAGCACAATCACCTCGCAACGTCGCAGCATCGCAGCGTCGGGTTGGAGAAAGACCCCGCTAGCGTACACACTGCAATATCAACCAGAAATGCGATCAAGCGAGTGAACACATGAGCTATGAAATGCTTGGTGCTGCTTTCAAAAGAAACCTGATGGAGCCACAGCCCACCCGCCAGGGCACGCCAGGACTAGGGGTAACCTTGATTGACCAGATAACCCGTGACAGGTGTTTGGTTCTTTGTGCACGTGTTGTTGATAAAGGTGGCCGCCCCAAAACAGGAAAATCAATCCCTGTACATGCATCACAGGCTGGAGAAAGACCACTGGTCAAGTGGTCAGCCTTTGATAAATACACTAATAAAATTATACCGGACCAAGACCTGCGGTGTGAATTGGTGACAAGGTGGTGCAGAAACCGGCCCGTTAGGGACTGTAGAACGTGTAGAACGGTATAGAAGTGGAATGTCCGGGAAACCAGCCAAAGGTTGACATGACTGCATGTTGTTCTGTCTCCCGGCCTCCCTTTAGTTCTATCTCTCAAAGCTACGCGCCAGTTGCCTTCCTTCCTTCCTTCCTTCTTCCGCCAGGACGCCCGGCAGCACTTGTTGAGCTTCGATGACGAGGTGGCACGTGCTCAGCGGCGCCAGGCATCCCGTGGATGGACGGAGCGGACGGACGGATCGGGCCCAACAGCGACGGATCCGATCGCTTCGATCGGATACGCGCGAGGAGAAACCTCGCAGGGGGCGGGGGGGGGGATACAAGGCTTCGGTCCGCTCATGTCCGTCGAAGTGTTGGAAGAGACACAGAAATCCGAGTCAACTTGATCCGTGTGATGGCCCCTGGAGATGGCCGCCCTGCAGTTTCTTTTTGATCCAGAAGATGTTTGTTTTTTTTGGTTCCACTGAACGGATTCCTGTCACCGTGGAAGGGAGGAAGTCGTTCCTTCGGCCCGGGGCGGGCTGGGTGGACCCACCTTTTGGTACCAGTAGCTGGACCCTCCATGGCAGTGGGGAGCCTGGGTTTGCCCCCACCCCCGAACCGAAGAAAACGACCGTCCGATAAGACGGAGGTCGGTCACAGGCGACGCGTCGTTGCCTGAGGTTTTGTGGATGGGTCGGGACCGGACCATTTGTGAACGATCGGGTGCAACATGTAGTGGACAACCGGGTCCACGGTCAGTCGCTTGGTATCCTGGTGTGACCACAGCCCAATGACAAGTTATTTGGGGGCTAATAGGTTCGAGAAAACGTTTTCTATATATACAGGTATTGTGGTTGGATCATGTTGGATAGGTTGTTGCATAGATGTGTTGCCCAATTTCTTGGAGACACCAAAGGGGGATATGGGAGACATGATGAATCATTTATATAGTTGCCATATTAAACAACTGTTTCACAGCCAAAAGACTGACACATCCATGGAAATATGATGAAATATGAAATGCATAGAGCTGCTCTTCAAGAGCTGCTAGGACAGCCTCCTTTGGATTGTGAGTGTCTGACAGTTCACAGGCGGCCCTCGACTCTTTGTCGTCCAACGCGGAGGGAGCGAAGAGCGCGGCGCAAAGCACAGCCCCAGTGGTGCGAAAGCCAGTGGCTTCGGTTGGAGAAGAAACAAACACCCTGCGTGTGCGCAAGTAGAGGGGTAACCGACAGACACTCCAGGGACTCCAGGGGCATATTATGTTATCAGTTATCATGCATAGATTCATAGATTTATACCTACATTGACCGAGGTCAACCGCCCCAATTGATCGGTCAATGCAACTGGAACTAGACCAGACATGGCTCAGGTGTCCTAAATTGGTTGAGCTGATGGTGTGAAACCTGCAAGCAGTATACCTGCAAGCAGTATAGCTCATCATGGAAACATGATGAAACGTGAGACTGTGGTCGGAATCTCAACTTTGGCTGAATGGTATACAGCCCGCACATTGAGTTGAATCATGTTGAATCTCATACATTTTGGACTTTTGGACCCCACATCCGATCACATCATATCACATCCGAACTCTCCGCCATCCCATCCTCCGCCATCCGCCTAACCCTCCCTCCCTCACCCTCCAGCCTCGAAAAATGCGACCGGGAACCGCCACCTGACGAGCGGGGACAACCCCGAGGTAACGACCCAGTACTCGGAGTTCGCCGGGGACCTCCTGGACACGGTGTCGCCTGGCGAACCGTTCGACGCCGCGGGGCACGGGGGGGGTGTCTCGGGTGTCTCGCTGGGCGCGTGTGGTGTGTTGGGACGGGACGGGACAAAGGTGCATGGTGTGTCGCTAGAATTGAAAGGCCCCCCCGGACCCCACATTTCCCGGGGCACATGAGTTGTTGATCTGTTTTATTGAAAGTAAGTTAAAATCTAGGGCAATGCCCTTTTGGATGTTTGGGCAAGTGTGAGTCTTTTTGCACGTGTGACGATGTCAGCAGTGACCGTGGAACTGGACTTTTGCACACGCCACTCCCAGTCAAGCCAAGCGCTTCGCAGACGCGAACAGACTCGCAGATGCATGCTAACCCGGATGCAAATTATTACGGACATGTGACAGAATCCCAACCCACTGCCTCCATTTATCAGAAGAGCAGAATGATTTAGACTTGTTGGAAAGTCATAAGTGTTTCAAAGTTTTCTATAGAGTGTTTGTTTAATTACTTTGGTCAGACACTACCACCATTTGCTGGGAGATGTGTATCGTTATGTCTCAAACGTCCAAAGGTACGAGGTGGGCGATGAGTATGTCGAGTTGAAGGGTGACCTTTTGCGTGACATGTTGGGCGGCTCCCTCGCCGGGGCGCGGGAGCCCGGTGTTGGTGCGTGTCGGGGCGCGTTTTGGGGCGGCGAAACGGGGCGAGTTGGTAAAGTCTGTGGCAATATGTGGCCCCACAGTTGCATAGGACACATACAAAGGTGATCTACTTAGGCTTTGAGGGAAGTGGACAAGGTTGCTCGAGGATCAGTTGCTAGGATGGAAGAGCTAAGAGCCTGATAGGAGGGAGGTTCCATGGAAAATCATATACACTTCTTCGAAAGAGTGGACCTTTGATCCCGAAAACGAAAACGACCTAATTGATCCAGAGCTTATCGGGCAACTTTCAGGGATCCATTGTGGGGAATGAGTCAAGTGGTTCGCCCCAACACTCCAGGTCCGAACAGTTCCATTCCTCCCTGGTGAACAGGATGAAGTTCTGATGTCGACCGTGATTTGATGACCCCCTGCCAGAATGTGTATATTCTGTTTCCATGCATGTTATACATGTTCATATAGAAGAGTTTCATTCATCAGCATGTCTACCAGGACCCACAAGGGGTGGTTAATGGACACCCCTTAACATCTAAGGGGCTATCAATAGAAGCCCCTTAGGGTGTCCTGGTACATGTACATGACGTAGTGCTTGCGATCCACCTAGCTCCGGAAATCCACCATGTGGGCCACGACATGTTCAGCTGTTACCCATCCACCCCATTGGACCTGGCTGGCACCCAGTCCACCAGTGCCACCTTCGAAACGAAGGTGCAACTAGAGCTCGCCCTAGGGTAAACCGGGGGCCAAGGGTTTCTAGGTCGGTCTAATGAACTGGAAACACTGGTGACCTACGAACTAGTAACTGGAATTACATGATTCCTTTTTCAATTATGGGTCAGTCCCTATAGGAAGGCCATACCTGGAGAACCATTTGGTACACTAACATGTGTCTCACTTTTTTTCTGCATGTTTCCCAGAAATGTGTTCGATTCAGGGCCCCTAGAAAAAAGGTGTTCGTTTGTTTTGGTGCGCAACACAGAAATGTTCCACCATGGCCCAAAAGTGAGCATGCATACCCCGATTGGCACCCCACAAAAGCACACATGTTTTCACGCTTCCTTCAAGAGCCAGTGTTCACCGCGCCACTTTCGGCGATAGTGCATCAGTGCTTTTTGCATCGTAGAGATGCATATCGTAAAAGCATGCGACCGTCGGGTCACTCGACAAACCTGAGAAGCAAATGGTTGTTGTCACCACTGTGTACATTACCTCCCTAGCTGCAACCACGACACTCGACCGATGTAATCTTCATCTTGCCAGGTGCTAAAGCCTAAGCAAAGCAAACCCAACACATGCCCTTAACACCAGGAACATCCACAAGACATGCAAACAGGCAGGTAGCTGTTGGGGCTGTAGACCAGCAACGCTCCTCTTGCAAGCTGGTCTTGCATCCAAAGCCTAATGCACATGACTCACGATAAAGGCTTAACGGAAAGATGGTTGGAACGCATTTCCAGGCACATGCATGAGTGCAGCTTATGCATGGGAAATCATGCATGCCACAAGTCATGCATGGAAAAACCATGAATGGAACAAGCCATGCATGGAACAATCCATGAATGGAACAAGTCATGATGGAACAATCCATGAATGCAACAAGTCATGCAAGGAACAATCCATGAATGGGACAAGTCATGCGTGGAACAATCCTTGAATGGGACACGTCGTGCGTGCAACAAACAAATGCATGATATAAGTCGCGCGTGCAACTCATTCACGCTTGCATGCTTGCATATCCAGGGCTTCCCAGCCCAATTTCTTCCTGCATGTGAAGCTTCGGCTTTGCCCGAAACAAAGGATATCCGCGAGTGATGGCCCAGCAGCGCAAAGCACTGATTCCTTCCTGGATCAGCATCAGGATGCATCAGCACACTGCACGTGCATTTCTAAAGTGTGAAACTAAACGCTCACAAGCCGCATTGATGTTGTGACAATCTTGGCAAGCTTGTTCAGCCAATGGTTTGGGCAGCCACCTTCCCTTGATGGCATGGAAGTACCTTTGCACAGAGGTCATCGTCCATCGCATGAGGGCCATGAGGGGCGCATCAATGACCTTGCACTTGCAAGCTCAACAGTGCATTGGCACAAGCATGCAAAGACATTGCATTGACATTGACTTGAAGCAGGCAGCATGTTCTGAGTTCTCGGGTTCGCCTTGCACCAAATCATAGAGCCACTTGCAAACCACCGTTGTGTCAGATGCCTTCCCACGAAGGCTAGGTTCCTCTCGCAGCCTCATATCATACAAGATCGCGCACATGTGACATCTTGAGAGCATATGTAGCCAATGGAAACTATAGAGCTATGTAGTTTGAATCCAACAACGGATTGTGGATTGCTCAACAAAGCCTGGCAGCGATTTGGCACCAAAAGTTTTCTTAAGGTCAAACTGTGTGATCGAAGATGTGGCATGGTGCTGCCGCAGCCATGCATGAAAGCTGACAAACGCCTTCTCCAGTCTTCTCTCTGCAGTGGTTCCGGGCCACCACATCAGACAGCAAGCCAAAAGAACCTGAAGAGTGTGCATTGTTAGGCCAAATCCACCTCATTCCTCGAAGACAAACCACATCATAATCAAACCCGAGCAGCAATCAATCCGCCGGCCAAAACTTGCCCAAGACCCAAGTGCCATGTGTGCATTTGGTCCGGTGGGGCTGACGTAGCTTGAAGCCCCGGAACTACAGCCAAGGCAGAACCATTTGTAGCTGGTGCACCTGGCCTATGAGCTCGCCAAGGTGCTTGAAGTGAGACATCCCACCACCCCTGCAGAAAGGCCCAAAGCATCCTACAATTTACAACCCTGCGCACAAGCCAAGCCTGGCTGTCACAGTAGTGACACACTCTGGTTGAGCCAAAGCCTGACCATAATCCATGCGCCTTTCCTTCAGCAAGTTCCAACAGACACACCATACAATTCCAATTCCCTGCAAAAAGCTCAGCTTTGCACTTTGCCACGGCCAGTCCCCTTTCACTCCGAGGCAAGCCACATAAAGGTTGAAGGTGGATCCATCTGCCCGCTTGACCTCAACCATCCTAACAATCACATCAACTAAGCAAACAAACCACTAGCATTTGGGACTCAAAGCAAAAGCTCAGCACACATTGAGGACAACCAAGGCACCTCAATGCCTTGCTCAAAAAGGGCAAGTAGATCAGCGGCTATCGCTTTGTGGATGGTCTCCAACGTTTCTTCATTATTTGCGCAAGCATATTTTTCAGCTGGGATCACAGATGCCAACAACCGGGTCAAAAAGCTGTGCCCTTTTCTCTGTAAGGCTGGCTGGTAGCTCAAGACTAGCACAGCACGGTGTACCTTACCCCTTCCCTCGTCACCATGGTAACAGAAGGGGATCGTCCTGCGATGCAGAGACCTATCCCGCTGATAGATTGCGTGGGTTGGCTGCACACACTCAAACAAAGCCCAAAAGCTCTCCAGCTCCCTGCACCACAATTCCTCTTCTTCGAGCCGGAAATTGTTGAATATCATTTGGCACGTTGTGTTGGCCACAATGAACTTCAGCCACAAGCTAAGGAACATGACAGGCCATGGGGCCACAATTGTTTGGTTCTTCACTTTTACGTGGGTGTCCACGAAATCAATCGCCACTATGATGGAAAAGCCACACCTCATGATTAAAGACTTCAAGTTCCTGCAAAAATGTGCAGGGTTCTGCCAACCAGCAATTTGTTGCAAGATCTGCGGACGGCCTCAGGCGCAAGCAATGGTGGCACCAAGGTCCACAGGAGTGCACCAAGGCATTCCCTCCACATCTGGGCCAAGTGGCTCCTTGTGATTTTTTTGTTCTTGGCCGGAGGCGCAACCACGATTGAGTGCCGAACAGCCATGGCAGAAATCGTGGGCTGGTTGGCCCACGAAGTGGCAAGTAAAGCTGCCTGTTCAAACTGCGTCATGACTCACTCAGGGCCGAAACTGGCACGCAATTGCTGAACACAGTCTGCATTGAAGCTTTCATTGAAATTATGTTGTGCAACGCTTGCAGTCACAAAGACGAAATAGGGGCACACATAGGCCACCGTCGAACCTGTGCGATGCAAGTATTACAAACTCAGATCAGCCTTCTTGAAGAAGATTGTCTAAATCCATCCAAAGACACCGGACCTCATGCCACTCCTGCAGAATAATAAACAACACACACATAGCACTGCATATCAGCACACAACATCTCCTCCAGACATAGTGCCAGCCATGCACAAGCTTCACACTGAATGCTTGCAGCCCAAATGCAGCAAAACACCCCAAATACACAAACAACATGAAAATATTGAAAAATCAGATAACTTCATGGCTTAAAATAAAAGGTGCTCGTTTGAGAGGCTTGAAAGAAAATGTATACCACTTACCAGTTTTGCGTGCCAAACCTTGGGTTGGTACACATTTATGTGTACCATACGGTGGTCCAGGTAACCCAATCAATTTCTTTCAAACTGCCGCACCGTGTGTGGTTTGACGCAGAGACGGACACTGCGTCGTCCGCCGCAGGCGCGGACGTATTTGGAGAGCCGTGGGGACCCCAACGTTTATGACTCCAGCACTGGTTGGACGCCCTTGCTGATGGCAGTGTGCCTTGGCTTGAACGGTGTTTTCTCCAGATGCCCATGTTGACGAATCCCAATTCAAAACACCTGCAGCCAAAGCACAGAACAGAACTAAACAGCCCCGCAATGCTCCGTATTCAGGTGTTTTTTTCCGTGTCCGAATTGGCATGACTCAATACAAAAGTCTTTCCGCTTTGGTGTCTTTGGCTAATTCAGCATTTGGTCCTTCAAAAAATAGAAGTTTTTGTCTTTGGTTTGGTTCGCTTGGAACATCTTGGAACTGTTAGGCCCTCACCGAGTGGTTCAACCGTTGCTTCGTTGCAGGCTATTTCAATTAATAGGCGTTGTTGATCAGACTTTGGATGGTTTGATGAGGAGGAGATACTTATTCATTATATGGACAGACACCAAAGAGAAAGAACAAAATAAATACCCATATTCAAAATGTATGGCATCACCGTGCCATCATCAATTTTCAGTTCCGAGGCTGTGGGGAGTTGGGTTCTGGGAAGTCGTCATGCTATGGGTTCCGACAGCTGATAGCCTTTAAGCACGACGGCACACGACCGTTTTGCGACATTTCTTGCAGGATCGAGTCCCCTAGGCCTCCAGTCGTACCGAACCTGAGAAGGTGGGACTGGGGTGGGTGGGTTTGAAGGGTCTAGTCATACCTTCTGAGGAGGTACGAGGTGTCCGTGTATAGGCTCATGTCTTCGCTCTGACGTCCTCTCTGCGCGGTCCTACGTTCCGTCGTTCCGGGTCCGTCAGGTCCAGTGGCCACACGCAGCTGGTGGATTTGCTCCTGCAGTGCAAGGCCGATCCGGCCAAAGGCGCCAAGAGCACCGGGGAGACCGCCGTGCACCTGGCGGTCTACCGAACCTCAGGTGACTGGAGAGGGAGAGATGCAGGGGAGAAGACCGGTATGGCGGTGGCAGAAACCATGATTTTGGATGGGGTTATATATTATGTTGCTTGTTCAAGCAAGATCCCTTCGCTAACTATGGTGGTAATGAGTTTGGCTTGTGTTGATGTGTGGCTGTTTTTGATCCTTTTCGCTAACTATGGTGGTAATGAGGTTGGCTTGTGTTGATGTGTGGCTGTTTTTGTTCTTTTTGCAGTTGCTTTGCCAACCATGGATAGCCTTTGGATGCCTTTGGCATAGTTTGGCTGCAAACATGGAGCCACCTCTACAGCACAGACATTGGTCAACATTCCTTAGTCGACCCTTGGTCTAATCGTTTTTCTTCTGAGCGGATATTTGGACGAGCTCTGGGATCTCACTTTGCCTATAATGTATTTGGGGAGCATCCTTCACGCGCTTCTTAGGAAGGCAAACAGTGCCACAGTCGAGTGGGTTTTGTCAACAGGGGGTGTTCACCTCAAGGAAGAACAAAATGCGGAAACCTCAAGTACCACATACCACAGGGGTTGGTGTCACGCCCTTGTGTCCGAAATCCTCCAAAGGTTCAACACGGAGGCTTTGAGGCACCAGATTGTGTTTGAAGGTATGGTGTCACCAGCAGCGACGTCAAGCCTTGTAGGATCCAATGTTTGGGCGAAGGTGAAGGGCTGTAGACCATTGTAGACCCCTCCTCCTTTCGAAGTCTCCTGGATAGACAATGGACAATGCTTTGTTAACTTATCGCACATGCAGCACTGTATACCCATACACTCCATGTATGGAAGTATGTATGGAATATATGCCTACATTGACCCCCCAAACCACCCCAATGTAGGCATATACATGTCATACATGGAGCGTCGGGGATATATAAGATTGATGATAATGATGCCACAGCGTCTTTTTGCCTTGGTGGCGTCGCTTGGGCGCCTGACGTTGCCCGAAAGCACCATCCAAGGTGAGGTGCTGCAGCAGTTGCTGGGCGCGAAGGAAACGCAAAGTATTGACAGAGGGGTGCCCAAGCATGCTATATATACAGCGTTCCAACCCTGTTAGGTGATTCCATTGATGTGTTTCATTACCAGCAATGTTGCGGGCCCTTCCTATAGCTCCCTCAAATCATTCCTTGATTCAAAGAAAGAGACCTTTAGTATAGGATTTGCTGTTCGAATGCTACGGGGCAAAATCCACCTGCTGGCGATGTTCAGATGTTTAGATCCTTATATCCTTGAACATAAGAGAACCATCCTTCAAGAAGGTGCTGTTTATCAGTTTATCACTAAGAGATGTACCAGGACCGTCCCAGGACTCTGGAGCCCGGCTGTCCAAATGGCTGGAGCCTCCGCTGTCGAAGTCTTTGCGTCTTTGCGAACGAACGAGTGGAAGCCTTGGCTTGGTGACCAAAAGCTCCCGAAATCGCAGGCTCAATAGCCACAGATTGGTCTTGGACGCCCAGGGCGGCCCCCTTGCGGACGTCGTTGATTCTCCAGGTCAAGGGGGGATCGTTTGGCGGACCAGAAGTCAAGAATTTTTGGGGGAGTCAGACCGTCTCTGCTTAGGACACCGAATGGATGCCAAGGACGCCAAGGCCCAGGTGTTTGAAGCTACAAGTATCAGACATTTGGGGTCAAGCTTTCCTGGATTCCTAGCTCTTCCCTGGTTCCAGCCCTTCCCTGGTAATCGTGCCGCCCATTTCAGTGGATTGAATCTCCCTGCCTCGCACACTGTTCTGCGACTTGCCTCAGGTTGCTGAACTTCCGGCGTCAGTGCGTGACTGGGCTGGGTCGTTGGTGGTGCAGCTTCGCAATGCTTCGCATACACGCCGGGGGTGGCCGGCTGGATGGGCCGACTGACCCCCGCTTCCAGAGGTTTCAAAGATGTTCCATGTTCTTTAGAGAGTCGATGAGACCATTGTGGGAGGGTAACTATGCCTCAAAGGATGGGTCGTTTGACCCCCCGCAAAGCAATGCCCCCAAATAAGAAACCTTCTATCTATTCTAGCGGGGGTCTTGGAGGGAGTGTCTTGGGTTGCCACGGGGTATCCACAGATATTTCCCACCCGAACCCGCAGGACCAGGGGTATGTTCCTCCCCCCTGCGGCAGATGTTCATGAACGCTCCTGGATCCGAACCTATGCAGGGGTCGGACCCGAATCGTTTGGAGGGGTCCGGACCCGAACCAATCCCTATGGCCGTGCCCGAAGTGGAAGTTCAGTCTTTGGTGTACCGTTTGAGCTCTAGGGTATAGACATATATACTGTGATTGTTTGCTTGGATACCATATTTAGTCATATTTATACACAGAACTTCCAGAAGGAGAGGTTGTGTTTGTACCTGTTTGTGCGCCTGTACCTGTCTATGTGTTTGTACCTGTCTGTCTGTACCTGTCTGTCTGTCTGTCTGTCTGTCATAATACACTTTTTTTGTGTACCGGCAACCGGCACCGGCAACCGGCACCGGCACTGGCAACCGGCGCCGGCAACCGGCACCGGCACCGGCAACCGGCCGGCAACCGGCACCGGCAACCGGCACCGGCACCGGCAACAAACCGGCGCCCGCCACCGGCCACAGTGTACCGGAACAGCGCACCGGGAATCGGCAACAGGGCAGCGGTAAATGTCAACTCGCCTTGAGTAATCGGACACGGCTGCCCAGCAGCGATCATACCTTTGGACTGTCGTGTGATAGAAAGAGCAAACGCATATGTACAATTAAGACTCAACAAAGATACAGAAAAGATAAAAATAGATACCCAAAGAAAGATAGATAAAGATAAACAGATTAGATTACAATAGATTAAGTGAGATGATGCCAGGTTAGGTTAGAGTAGATACGGTTTGATAGTTAGATAGGTAGGTAGGAAGGTAGATAGATAGATAGATAGGTAGATAGATAGATAGATTAGATAGATGAAATAGATTAGATAGATAGATAGATAGATAAATAGATAGACAAATAGATAGAATAGATAGATAAATAGATAGACAAATAGATAGATTAGATAGATTAGATAGATAGATAGATAGATAGATAGATAGATAGATAGATAGATAG